AACCATCCGGGGGGGTCCCCCCCCCCCCCGAAGACCCTAACTGTCACCTCTCCACCGCTCCCAGACGTTCCTACCAAGGCTGCAACCCTGAAGCGCGACCGCTCTCCGGGAACCGCAGAGGAAGGCCCGAGTCGTACCCTCGCCACCACCAACGGGACCAAGGCCACGCGAGATGGCGACGCAAACGGCTACCGTATGGAGAGGGAGTGGGACCCAGAGCCGTGCGGGTGTGGCTGGCACGTGCTCTGCAACCCCGAGCGGATCGGCATGCTCACGGACGAGCACAGGCGGGAGGCGTACCGGCTGGCGGTGGCCGAGCTGCTCCGGGGTCTCCCGGGGGGGCCTGGCACGGTGCTGGACATCGGCGACGGGGCCACCTGCGCGTTCTTGGCGGTGGGAGCGGGCGCGGGAGCGGCGGTTTCGTACGAGCCCGCGGAGTGGTCGCACCTCTTGGTCGGACAAGTACGAAGAGCATCGCTTGGAGTTCCACCTTGTTTTGTCCTTGCAAGTTACGGACCTGCGGTTGATTAGATGTTGTTTTGGTGGGGGGCGGAGGTGCTGCGGCGTGAGAAGGCTGTGATTGGGTTGGAACCGCAAAAGGCGCGACAGTCTCGCGTTTGTGTAGCGACACCAAGAAGAAGAACCTCCCTATCGTAGAAACGGCGAAAACGCAATCACGTATGAAGTCCTTGGCCGAGACAAGTGCAATCGTACGAGCAGCCATCTTACCCGTCTTCCATGCACACCTATACCCGTGTCTCTATGCGGGGGCACAACCGATAGGTAGCTCGAAACAACGACCTGGAGCAGATGCACCTGCTCGAGGCGGCGGACGAGTGGCCTTTTCTGAGGGAGGTGATTGGGAAAGGAGGAGACGCCGACGGTGAGGAGGAGGCCGCGGGCGAGGGGCAACAGGAACACCTGCTGTGCGATGCCCTCGTAGGGGAGCCGTTCTACTACCGGGTAGGGTAGGTGAAGGGTGTCCTGGAGTGAGGCCGGGGAACCACCGTTGTTGTAGCTGTCTTTGCAGTCGTCAGCAACCGTTGACGCAGAGCGGTATGCAAAGCACGGAGCAAGTCACTGTAAGCGATTTGCCCGAGCGGCGTCGACATTGAGGTTACACACAGAAACACGCCTATTTTACGCTTTCACCGGTACTCACTGCTGCCGTTGCCTATTTCTGGACAGATACTGTCGTCCCGACAATCTGTTGATACTGCCGTGGTCCTGGCGTCGTGCATGCATCAGCCATTCGGTACACCTGGTGGATCCCTTTTGTAGAAAACGAACACGAAAACGACATTTTGCATAGAAAACGGAACAACCCAACCTTCGGTTGTCAGTGGTGGCCCAATATAAGCCTACGCTGCGCGATCCCGCGCGCAAGAGTACCAGTGGCATTCTTTACTCCTTGTCGGTGGAGGTGAGATTTTCGTGGTCCCAGTTCGATGCTTCGTCAGTGGACATAGAAAACTTGATCACACTCGTCCCGTTCCTTTGCATGCAGCGTTACCTGCGGCAACAGGCCGTGGCGGACCAGGGTAGCTTTACCGCGTGTCCTTACTTAGCAGGGACCGTAACTGTGTCTTTGGGTCGTTTTGTTTGCCCTCTGTCTGCCCGGGTGCGTATGCTGGGGATAAACTCCCGCCACACGGTGTTGTACACAGATGCAATCCCTGGTGCTGTATGAAGCGATGAACTTCTGGTATCTTCGACGAGTCTTCGACCCTGCGCTCAAGCCGGATGCAAGGTGAGGGAAGGAGAGCACTATTCTATCAACAACACCCCTTCCGAAGAACTGCGAGGAATTCGATGAAATTGTTTTTTTTTTTTTTTCTTGCAGATAGCGACACGCATTAAACGGTCAGTCATACTGTTCAGACGTGCCGTATATGTGCTTGCAACCACGCGAAACTCCACACAGCCCGTTCTCCTGCCCCTTCTCAAGGTCGCTAGTATCAGGGCAGAGAGAGTGTTGTCTTGGCAATGACGCGCTACTATGTTGCCCTCCTGCGTTCTTGGCCTGTTCTTGTTTGTCACCCTGCCCCGCAATGTGGACATAGATTGGCGGGGGCGCTCCGCATCAATCTGTAACACGCGACGTTGTGATCCCTGGTGCACTTGAGTCATCTCTCCTCGTATCTCCTTTTTCTGTCTGACACAACGAACGCTGTTGTCGAGCTTATCTCCTCGGGTTTGTACGTGCTGAACACGGCAGGGTTCTGCCGATGAGAGCGATCGTCTGCGTAGCTGGTGTCGAGCTCCCCGACCTCTCTCTCAGCCACGGTCCCGTTGGGTCCGTGCTGGGCTTCGACCACGCGCCGTACGACGAGCGTGTCCGCCCCAGGTGGCACGAGCTTTTGTACCCGTACCCTCTCAGGGCGTACAAGCACAGGTGCGGCGGCGAGTATGGGGCACCTTGTTTTTGGCGATGTACAGGGCCCTGGTTGTGCTTTGAAAGAGGCATTTTCGTAAGGCGGCGTCGATGCTTCCCCTTTATCAGTTACCTTCATCTTTCGACGTGCATCTCCCAACGTTCCTTTGTGTTGTTGAAACCGCTACCTTGCCTTGCCAGGCTGCTTACGGATGCAGAAGACCTGCTATCATTCGAATATACTTCTCTGCCGACGGACGTCGAATCTACGGTTACCATTTCGCCCTCGTCGCCTGGGACTGTGCACGCCGTAGCTATTTGGGTCGATTACCAGCTCAATGAGACTTCGCGTTGGAGCACCTATGGGGGATTGTTCCGCGGGGGGGGGGGTGACGGGAATGCCGCGCGGAGAGGGGGTGTTCACGAGAAGCAGATGCTGAGATTTTTGTCGAAGCCGCTCGACGTCAACGGTGGTGATGCTTCTGCCTCTGCTGCTTCTGTGTTGACAGTGTCCGGGCGTTTCGATGTAGAGGGCGGGTGCATGAACTTTGAGGTAGTGGAGCCGTAGAGTGTTGTGGAGCGAAATCCAAGAGTCTGGTACTGGAATCGCGTCCTACATACCATTGCAAGGAAGGTGGATGGAAGCATTCTGACAGCCTCTGCCACTCTCCTTATCGTCGAGGTCTTGCTGGCCGGTCATGAGTTGCTTTGCGCCTGAGAAAGGTCGGCAGACAGTCTTCACCGCATCTTTCGCTGGGCGATCTTGGGTGAACCCTTACAGTAGCTGTCACACGTGTGTCAAGAGTAGACTATGAGTCTTGGGCGCAGTTGACACTGAAAGCCTGGCAACTGCCAACAGTCCACAACACGTTGTGGTGAAGCCTAGCTGACTGCCACATGCAGAACGTTTCTCCTCCTGCGTTTACTCGCCTGGGGTACTCCGAACTCATCCGACCAAAACTTTTCACCGTGTATCTACAATGTAGCTGCGGGATTCCGGGACAAGCATCGAGCATCACCGACGGTACTTTAGACGCAGGTCAATTGTCGGTGTGTGTGTCTTTACTGTTTGCATTCACCGCGCTAACCGGTGACCAATATGAGAAGACGCCGGTCTCAGTGCGATTGAAAAAACGAAACACTTCGAAATGCCGTGAACTGGGACCCCGTGAGGGGGCGTCAATGGTGTGTGTGTCCGTTCCGTCGATTGTGGCGCTGGTTTACAGGCCTCTCGGCGTATAGTCTAAAGCTGACGTATCAGCCGGGGTCACACAAGAGGAAGGTCACACAGGAACTTCTTTCATGTTTTATTTTTGTTTTGTTGTCCCACCTTTCCCCCTGCGAGGTGTACTTCTCGATTTCTGAGACATATTGGCAGCACAGAGCGTCGTACCCGTTTGTCGATGTGTAGTCTATGTAATACAGTCTGACATGACGTGATACAGCCTTGACCGATTTTCAAAGCAGTGATGGTACCAAAAATGGAAAATGGCGACGTTGGAACGCTCTTGTTGAGAGCTTTCCTAAAACTTGTCCTTTTGAATGTGGCATCCCCTTGATTGTGGAGTAGAGTAGACTACTACTGACTGTGCTGTACACGGGCTTTGAAAATCAGTCCAGAGGCTGTAGTATCTTGTGCGCAGCCTATCTTTGCACTTGTAGGGCATACCAGAACACTGATGTCTCTGAAAGGTACGAGAACCAGCCCAGCCGGTAGGCTACGCCAGTCTGTGTGACCTATTGGGTCGGTCGGTTGGCTCCGCACTGCTGTGGGGCCGCCCGGCACCAGGGCTCTACCAACGTATGAGTGCGGTGAGTGTAGGATGGGTGTCCCCGGGTCCGAAATCCACCAAAGGCGTACAAGTTTAACTCCCGAAGTATTCTTGTCTGCATACCCCCCAGCTTCGGGAAGGCCGCGCAAACGCGCAAACGCGTCAACCGCACTCACTTTACTTGCTTGACACCTCCGGCTGTCCCTTTGGCGTGTCTCGCTGCATCTGCATGGATAAGGCCCTGATAGAGGTGCAAAAGACATCCCGGTTTTACGTGTACGGTGCAGTGGGGAGCTCTTCAGTCGTCCAGTGGCCGGCTTTCGAGAAATCGGCAACCGCTGCTAGTACTTCAGCTGCTTCGCGTGCCAAAGGTAGCGAGAAGGGCGCCGTTCAGCACAAGAAAGCGTGGGCGCAGACGACAGATATGACTTCCAAGGACACCGACAGGGTGAGACTAATGGCTGGCGTAACCTGGGCGAGGTTGGTGATGGTATCTCCACGGTCGCTTTACGCTATTGCAATCTAATCCGTTCCTCTTTTTTCGGTGGTGTGCGGCTGCGATTGCCCCGCACACCTGTGCGAGATACTGATATATGCGCCCACAGCCAAGCGCGTCGGTCTATTGCGGTTCAATCGCTTGCTTGCGAGGACAAAGGATGACATTTTGTCCAATGTTGGGGTGGTATATTCGGAAAGCAGCGCAGCTACAGATAAGACGGCATTTGTAGATGCTGGAGGTACAGCACGTGGTTGCAAGATGATCTTCTGAACCTACCGGTATTTGGGTGATCGGTACATGTAGTCTTCGATTCGCTACCCAACAAAACCGGTGTCCTATCATCTGCGGAGAGGCCGCGTTTGTGTTGTTGCAGCACGCCCAAACTCCCGACATGGCATCCGCGGCTTCTCTTACGCAGTTGACAGACTCATGCTCGCTGACCGTTGTGACGAGGCAGGGGAGTTGGAACCAAGACGGCTCGCACGAAGGTGCATGCGGCGTACGAGTATGCAAGCAAAGCTCTCTGCTCTCTTGAGTGTACAAAGTAGCTTGTGGCATAGGACATCCCGTCGACGATACCCAAAACACGTTTTAGCTGGAACACCGCTGCATTGTGGGCTCAATGGGGCGAGAAGAATGCCCGATCGGCGAGCTTGGCCATGCCGTATCCCGCCTACATGGTGCCCGCCCCAAACGGCGTTTGGCCAAGCTCGACATTCTCTAATCTGACCGTCCTGACCTGGTTCAGGCCTTGGATGTTCCTGAGGATATGGATGCCGACGGGCTGGCCGCGGCGGTAACCAAGCAGGGATCGCTGGTCAGGCAGATGAAGAAGGTGTGTACAGACGTTTCACGGGAAGTTAATGATGAAAAAAACGAGGTCAACCTTCTCTCTCTCTCTCGGCGACATATATTTGGTGTGTGTTCCCAATGGATGTAGACGCATTTGCTGCACTGCATGTCGATATATATATGTATATGTTTTCCATCATTGGGCTCTGTCGTCGGCCCCTTTGGCCCCTATCCTCCACTTCTACCAGCTAGACGACCCAACCGGGGTCACTTAGGAGGGGGGTTGGACCCCCTCCTGCGGTTCCTGCCTGAGATACTTTTATCGCGAGAAGGGTACAGCAATCCCTTCCCTCGCGACATATGTACGAAGTCGATTGGATCTATGTTCGTTCAGCTTTGCGGTGGTCACATGAACGGCAGGGGAGCGCGAAATTTTATTTGTTGATTCCCTGCGGCGAGACTGATTGTAGAGTAGGCGATCCGCGCACGCGTCCATGCTTCATATGCGCGGACCGTTTACAACCACCTTTCGTATATCGCTATCAATCTTTGCGCAGCCCTTCTGAACCGCTGTGCCTACACTGACGATGGGATGGTCTTATCCCTCCAGGCAGCCAGCATTGGTGTTTTTCAGAGTGAGGTCCAAGCACATCTAATGTTGAACCTCGACTGTAGTTTGTTCACCTTTGCCGACAGCATGGAAATGCCAGCACATTGCTGTATTTCGTACAGTTTTTTTTGTGGGTGTTCCCGCAGATAGCAACAAGGGTTGGGATGGCAATTCTTGCTGCTGCTGGAGACGACAACGTTGTCGTTGTTGTTTCTATTTCGTATTTGCTGAATCGAGCGAAGACTGGATGTGCCATAATGACCGCGTTGCTTTCGTCGTATGGTCTTCCACCTTGCGGCTGGCATGATGACGATGACGGACAGGATGGAGCGGCGGCGGAAGCTATCCAAGCGGAAGTCGCAAAGCTGCAAGGTTTGAAGGCCAGCCTGGCAAAGGCGACGGCTGCTGTTGAGGCAACGAGCACCTTTGACGGGAAAGGTTAGTGGCCTTGTCTGTACGGCGTGGCGTCTGTTGTTGATCTTGGTGCAGGGTGGGGGTGTTTCGCGGTATTTGTTGTGCTGATCGTCTTTTTTTTCACGGCGTTTTGGTGGAAACATTCGACCGTATGAAGATTAAGGGTGAGCCTTTTTTGTGCCGCGCTTAGCCGTGATGCTTTTCGGCTTGTCCCATAATGCCGATTGCCTGTATGTCTTATCCTCGTCCTTCTTTGCCTATGACGTCGTTTGCGTTTTTCTATTCACTGCTACTGTCGTTTTCATCGAATGTAACCTGCACGTGAGGTTCGCGGTCGGAAGCGAATGTCCTTCAGGAACACCAACAGACTGCGGGGACAAATAATTTCACGCCGTTCTCCTTGTTTGCAGTATCCATCCTCGATTTTTCCAACCCTTGTCTCTTTTTCGATTGAGATCGTCAAACTTGTTCAGTTCATTTTCGAGCCTACGTATTCGAAAGACTGTTCTGTTCTAATCGGTGTCTCTCCCCCCCCGGTGCCTGCCTTTCTCTTTTTTCCGCGAAAAAAACAAAAAAGCCATGGACGATTTGGTGATCCGGCGCATGTTCGTGGTTCCGTCGTTCGAGATCCACGGAGGTGTTTCCGGTCTGTACGACCTCGGCCCTCCCGGGTGCGGCCTCAAAGGGAACATCGTGTCCCTCTGGAAGCAGCACTTCATTCTGGCGGAGGGCATGCTGGAGATGGAATGTACCAACCTTACCCCCGAGAACGTGCTGCAGACGTCCGGTACGTGAATCTTGACACATTATGGTATCACTGCGGGGGCGGGGGAGGGGGGGAGTGTCACCAGTTACTTTTGATTTTTTTTTTTTTTGCAGACAACGTTGGTTGAAATGGAACTAACCGATGGTGTACATTTATCACTCGAGTTCAATTCCTTGTGATTTTTCTGTTTTCACAGACAACGTTGGTTGCATTACAGTTATCCAATTGCGGTGTGCGCGCTGTTTGCGAATGCAATACAGTCGAGGGACCCTTTTAGTGCCGGTTGAATAGTGCCAGATGCCCGGTATAGTGCCGGTAAAATCTCTGCACACAGGCGGAGCTCTCAATAGTGCCAGACCGGCACTAATTAAAGCATGCCCGATATAGTGCCGGTTCGGCACTGCTGTCACCCCCAATAGTGCCGGTACTCCGCACGCGCGAAACACACACACGCACAACCCAGGGCAGAAAACATAGACTCCACACACAGAAATAGGGTACACGTGCTGCTGCAGACCCGAACAGCTCTACACAGGGGCGTACCATGCCCTGTGCGGAAGGTGAACTGTGCCAACTACAGGACACCACGCCGCAAGACCCTCATGGTCACGGCTGCCAGGGAGGATGTGGCGGGCGACTGCACGGCATTTGCGGCAGTGTGGTTGATGTAGGCAACGAGAATCACCGCATCTGCAGCGCGTGCGTCGCCAAAGCCGGCAAGCGCAAAGTGTCAGCAGCAGACAGCACTGGGAAGGCACAATCTAAACGTCCGAAGGCCACGAATGGGGGGAGTAACAAGTCTCAGCCTCGTGCGCGGCCAGATTTCAGCGCCAAGTGTGAGATGCTGAAGCTGATGGATCAGAAGGTGACTCATGAGCAGCTAGCAGATCGCTTCAAGTGCTCGGAACGGTTGGTCCGGGATGTGAAGAAGAACAGGAAGAAGTACGAGACCGAGGCTGCTGCAGGACGCGGAGGAAGCAAGAAAAACGTGCGCACAGGCAATAATCCGGAGGTGCGCTACTCTGCTGTTGTTTTAAAAAAATACGCGTAGTTCCCGCGCCTTCTTTGCCTTTTTTTTTTTGCCGGGCCTTGTTTGCAAAGAGTTTTCGTTTTTGCAAGGACCTTTTTCTGTAGCCTTGTTCGTCTATCTGATGTTCTTGTTCTTTTTTCTTCTTCTCTTGTCAAGTTGTTCCCTGTTCTCTGTTCCCTTTCCCCATGTTTCTTCTATTTCTCGACTGTTACAGTACTTGTTGAGCTTATTCCCTCTCGTCGTTCGTTTGTGTCTTTTTTTGTGTTACCTTTTTTTTCAACTTTCTTTGTTGTTTTATCGTTCGTGCGCTGCTGCGCCAGCATATAAACTGCGAACCAAAAATGTGTACTTGTTTGTACTGTACTGGTACATTACATCGCACGCACACCTATTCTTTCAAACGAGTTACAATACATAAATACACATGCGGATGCAGCGGCGAGCTTCTGTGGTTTTTCAAATGCCCGGAAATGTTTCCTTCCCACTACGATGCACTGTGCAACGAGGCTTAATGTTCGAAACTAATCGTGCTATCTTTTGTACCCTCTTTATTGTTTACTCCTCGTTTGACGGTCAATAGGTGGACGCCATAGCTCTTGACCTACTAGAGAAAGCCCGGAAGACCAAGATGCCCGTCACGCGCGACGTCCTTCGAAGCTTCGGCCGTGCCGCCAGGGCAACCCTGCTGGCTGATCCAGCAGCTTCTAAGGAAGTGAAGGCGAGGGTCGAGGATTTCAAGGCCGGCGAAAGGTGGGCCAGGAACTTCGTGAAGCGCAACAGCATCGACAGCGTGAGACTTCATGGCGAGGCTGGTAGCGTCAACAAGGAGGCCATCAAGGAAGCCATGGAGGAACTCAAGGCCCTTTGCGCAAAGTACCCGGCTAGGCTCATCTTTAACGTCGACGAGACAGGCCTCCAGTGGAAGCTCATGCCCAGGCGCACGTACCTCTCCAACTTGGAGGATCGGAAGACGGCGCGGGGCTCCAAGGGCATGTTCTTCAAGGATCGACTGTCTGCCATCATGTGCGCCAATGCCGACGGCACTGCAAAGGTTGACATGTCCATCATCGGGAAGGCAAAGGGTCCCCGCTGCTTCAACGACACGCCTTCACCTCTCAAGTACTTCTCGCAGGCCAACGCCTGGTCCGACACCGCGACTTTCCGCAAGTGGTGGTGTGAGGTCTTCCTCCCGTTCGTTCGGCGCTTCACTCACGAACCTGTGCTGCTTCTGATGGACGGCTGTGCTTCTCACGGTGATCTAGTGGATGATCGGGGGCAAGTTACCATCAAGTTCTACCCTCCAAACTGCACCTCCGTACACCAGCCTATGGATCTGGGGATCATCGCCGAGACAAAGTGCAACTACAGGAAGGAGCTGCTCGATGTGAAGACATCGACCATGTTGGTGGCTGACACCCTTCGTGCCGAGGCCAAAGCTCGCAAAATGAAGGCCGGGACAATGGGGCTGGCGCAAGGGCACCAACCTCACGTGCGGGATGCCGCTGAACTTCTCCAGAAAGCATGGGCCAGCGTCACCGCCCAGGACATCGCCAGGTGAGGTTTGAGCATGTGCAATCGCTGTTTATAATGTAAACTGTTCAACTCGCGCCTTGGTGCACATAGCTTTGGTGGTACAAAGGTAACGTGGGTAAGGTTGTACGGATAGATTATATTGTTTTCGACTGAGTTTTCCAACATCCGAATACATATCTTCTTTGCTTTTCGCAAAAACTTGAGTCCTCCCCCGCCTATGAGTCTTTGATCGTCCCTGGGTTCATCTAACATCCGCTTGTTGTCCACCCACAAACGTATGCATGACATTTTCTGCGCTACCTGGGATCAGGTGCTTTGTCAAAGCCGAGACTCTTCCGGACGAGATGGCCGCTGAGCTCACCAAGCAACACGGAAAGTCCCAGTTCCACGTCGCCGAGCCTACCTTGAAGGCTCTCACGGAGACTCTCAACACGTTGAGCACGAGCGTGCACGAGGCGCACAAGCAGGGTACCCAAATCGAGGACGAGGACATCGCCGAACTCATCGCCGAACTCCGCATCGAACCCGGAAAGCCGCTCCTGGAGGAAGCGGTGAACGCGATTCAAGGGTGGGCTACCATCGAGGACGACGATGAAGTGGTTGAGGCTCTCAGAGAGGATACGGTGGAAGACATGACGGCACAGCTGGCTGGGACTCGAGTGTCTACCGGCCGCGAGGAGGAGGACGAGGAGGAGGACAGCGGCGATGACAACACGGGGCTCGCGCGCCGTGTCCCACCGGCTTATGGTGAACTGTCGTCTCACTTCGGCGTCCTGGAAGCGGCAGCAGAGGAGAGCGGCAATGGAGACGCGGCGCTCTACCTAGCGAAAGCGAAGATGGCGATGATTGCAGCGCATTCCAAGAGGCGGGTGCGCCAGGCAGACATGAGGGAGTTTGTTGCTACGGAGTAAGGGCGGGGAACAGCTGTGGCACTAAAAAAACGGTTGTTTGATTTTTGCGGTGCGCTGCCCGTCGTGCATGTCATTTTTTTTTTCTTGCAACATCGAAGCGGGTGCGCCAGGCAAACAGGAGAGAATTTGTCCCGACGACAGTACACAAATAAGCAAATAAGTGAGGTGCAGAAGAAAATGAAGAACCAAAGAGCGCCCCAAGACAACAAAAAGAAAACTCAACTCTGCCCACGCCCATGCTGGAACTTCACTCAACAGTACAGTAATAGTGTCGATCCATTTCGTTCTTTGTTGGCCCCGTAAGCGTGGGCGCTACACCATAAATCGAACACAACCTCATTAGTGCCGGTACCGGCACTAATGAGGGATTGGCCAGCCCTCAATAGTGCCGTTTTGGCACTATTCGCAATAGTGCCGGGTGCCCGATTTAGTGCCGGTGAATGCTCTGTGCACGTACCGGCACTAAAAGGGTCCCTCGACTGTATATGCAAACTGCTGGTGCAGGGCACGTGGACAGATTCACGGACCTGATGGTGAAGGACACCGAAACCGGAGAGTCGCTTCGTGCTGACAAGCTCTTGGAGGACATCATCGACAAGCTCCTCGCTGAAAATCCCGCTATGCCCACGGTACGCCAGAAACATTGGCTAGAATAGTGCTAAGCAATAAGTGAACACGACGAGATCGGCGGATATACCGGCCGAGTGGAGCAGTAACATAGCGCGAGAATAATGGATCGATGTGAGGGGGCATGTCAGAAGATGGACGAATGTTGTTTGCTCGCGCGAGTACCTTGTATCATGTATACCCCTGTGTCACGTACATTGCTTTTCTTTGCGTTGCATTGCATTGCATTGCACCAGGCGGAGCGTGAGGAACACCTTCGTGTGCAGAGGATGGCGGACGCGTACAGCGCGGAGGAGCTCGGCGAGGTGCTGGACAAGTACGGTGCGAAGTCTCCGCAGAAGAACGACCTGACCAAGCCCTTTCCCTTCAACCTCATGTTTAAGGTAAGCCGTTCGGTTGCGTTAGGATTTGGCGACTTGGTTGGAAGACGTTCTCACTTGTATACCGTTTCGTGCGGCGGGCCGTTCGGGCCTTGTTTCTCACGCGAGCACGTTCGTTCAGCAGTACTCTGCGGTGACGGGAAAAGCCTTGGTATTTTGTCTCTTCTGCAGTACGGCCTCTCCCTTTCCATCGCACGATCACAAGGTATCACTGTTGTTGCGTACGTCTGCAAGAGCCCCTCCTCCCCTCTTGGCCACACGACGCAAACACAAGCCATTGCCATTGTCATCGCCATTGCACCCATCGTGCCCCCCCCTCTCCCTTGTTGCTACACGCATGTTCCTGTCATCACGGGAGGTAGACACCGTGGTCCAGATTTTTGCGTATTGTAACACCGATGACAGATCCACGAAGGGTCTCGTGTCTTGGTCGGGGTGTAAGCAGCGTGCGTTTGAATTCGTTCTGCCGGGACTTGAGAAGCAGTTCTGTCTTGGACGTGTGCACTCCGCTCCTCTACTGCAGGTGTGTTGGTGTTGGCGGACGCCCAAGACCAGAGTGTTGGTGTTGCCTGCATAGACTACGAGTGCAATTCCCTTTCTTAGGAATTGGAGTCCTCCTGCCTGTTGTCGATCAAGATGACGACTTAAATCCATACCAGACTCGTGTATCTACCTTGGGGCCCTATCTTCCCTTACCACCCTGCCCTACTCTGCCGTGTTCCTGTTTCTGCTGCTCTCTACATCCTTTGCACACTCCCCTATTTCTTCTACTCGACTGACCCGGTCTTCTGCTTACCTCCACCCTTGGAACTCTACCTTAACCCGCTCGTCTCCACTCCGCCCTTCTCTATCTCTCTCCCCCCACGTCTCTCTCTCTATGGTTTCCTGTTTAACGACGACATGTAGACTACGATCGGGCCGGAGGGCACGCAGGTGGGATTCTTCCGCCCCGAGACTGCACAGGGTCTGTTCGTTAACTTTCGCCGACTGCTGGACTACAATGCCCAGAGGATGCCCTTCGCCGCCGCTCAGGTCTAGTTACAGGGACTGCATTCCCGACGATTTTATGATTGATATATATATGATATATCTATAGAGGGGGGTTGCGTATCCCTATCCCGAACCCTAGCATCCGTGCCCCGCACCCCCTTCTACAACCAAGCTTAATACATGTCCTTGTCAAGGCTACTGAGTTAAGGTGGTGGTTCAACGTTAGTGGTATCATGTCTCCATCTTGGCTGGCTGTGTCGAGATGCGTGATGTGTGTGTTGCTATTATGGTGAAATGCAGATGGATGCGGGGATTGGAAATTTCGTGAATGCTTGTCATTCACTAAGAAAGCTAGGGATTGGTACCAATACTGGAAGTTTTATGGCAGGTGAGAGGTGTGCAGCAACGCTCACCTGCACCTCGAGGGGTGTTGCTTTGTATTTCGGCAAAATGTGTTGGTTTGTTTCTCCTTGCTCGTGCGTTATGTTGTTGATTGTTGATAATCATTGCCTCGTTTTGTGGGTATCGTCCTAGGTATACATAACTTTGCCTGCTTTTGTGCACCCTACCCCTAACGTTGCTTTTGTGCACCACAACACTTACGTTGTGGAACAACCGCCGCCTCGTGTCCCCCTGTCACACGATGCTCCCCTTTCTTGGCTATATTACAATAAGTGTTTCTCGGTCACACCGCAATGCATCCCCTCGTCCAGTTCATATTTGACAAGTTTCAACGCCCCTCGCCCCCCCCCCCCCCCCCCCCCCCCCCCCCCCCTTTTTCTTCATTTTTTGGTAAGGTGGGTCTGGGGTTCCGTAACGAGATCTCCCCGCGTGCTGGACTCCTGCGAGTTCGCGAGTTCTGCATGGCAGAGGTGAGACCAGGGTAGGGGAGCGACGCAGCGAGCGAAGAGCCGGCCGGGCATTGTTGCTTTACAACGGTAGTGGACTGAGCGCGTTGAGACTTCTTTGTTCGTCTCTTGTCTGGGAAGGGAGGGCGATGAGAGGGAGATCCGCCCTCTGCCTGTTGTTGTCGTGCGGAGGGTGATGGCGATTACGGGGGGGGGGGG